CCTCATCCACTAGGCGGGTCACCTGGTCGTACAAGGAGATCAGGTTGGCTGAACAGGTTGGCTGTTCTCCAGGCTGAACAGGAGTGGAAACACATGGCACCTTCCTTCCTTACGGCAAATCATAATAAATCACGTTCTTGTACCTCTTACCATCTGGCTGACGCATCTTGCGTTATAACTGTCTTACCTGGGCAAAGGCAGCACAACGGCATCCCAAACCCCAGGAGTGATACTTGGGCCCCTGGCCGCACGATCGGCCCTTCTGGCACCTTAATAGCACAGCAAGAATTTGAACATTTCTGCCCTCGGGCACCTCACTTTTGGTACGCAGCTTCTGCAAGGGAGGCGCAGTCCCAGGCAATACACACCGCCATGCCATACCCCGGAGTGCCAGCACACCATGCCGCGAGGCAGCTCAAACACGCCGGAGGAAAACGTTTTAAATGCACTGCAGCCCAGGGGAATGCAAGATGAAGTATTTTTTCCTGCACTTGAGAGCTCGTGGCTGTGATTTTTTGGTTACGTTCATAAACAGTTTATTTGCAAAAGAGGAGGCAGCCTGGTTTTCTTTCAGCCAGTTGTAAGAACATGTGCTCCAGGGGGATGGAGTCCCTCCTTCACCTCATGGGACCAAACGCCAAAGTAGCCTAGGTTCCAACGTACCGCGGGAGGCAACATTTGCCTTCACCGGCTGTTGCCTGCTAACCATGGGCACTACCTATAAGGACATTTTCACTTGCTAAGGGGTCATGTTTTTCTGTAGCTGAGCCTTCTACGTTATCATTCCTAAGTAATTTCTGAAATAATCTTGGGGTGTAACTCAAACTTTTGAGTTGCGCACTGGGAAATTGCTTATTAAAGGAAGTACTCTCAATTGGCCTCGCTGATGCCCACAGTAGCTGACTCCGTATACACCTGACACTGAAAGATATTAAGCACATTTAAATACAGAACCGAAATGAGGATTTACTACAAGTCATTAGTAGCACATGGTAGTGTGTCCCTGCCCGCCCCCCCCCGCCAACCATGCACCCACTACTTTAGCAGGCACATTTACAACCCTGTAAGCTGGAAGTTGTTTTAGATCTGAAATTATTTCAAACTACAGCTAGTCAGGCAAAAGTTCCTACATGTTCCTCTTGACTTAGGTTTTTTCCTCTTTACAGATTTGCCCCTGTCCAGCTTTATAGATGTGCAAGGAAAAGATGCACAGAAAAGTCTAAAAGTGTTTATACAATATATGTCCTTTAAGGCAACAATTACCACCCTTATCCTCTCTTGTGATGAGCCCATGGATAGTATCACGCTGAGCAATATCTGTAACGGGCTAAACCATGACAACCAATCATAGGAGCAGAGGAAAATATTGCTAATAAGAAAACCTACCGCGTATTAAGCATTCCTTTTCACAGAAGAAATAAAGTATATATTCACAGTGCCCTTCCTTTAGCCGCAGGGGAAAAAAAAAAAGGAGAACTTTTTCTTGTTTAAATCTGATGCAAGTTTTTCCCTTTAAAAAAAAAGTTCAGAGTTGACACTGTCACACAAAAATTGACACTTCCAGGTTATGAACAAACTAAGTTTAATCTAAACCTAGTTTACAGTTGCATCAGAGGAAGAACAGTTTCAGTCTTTCCAGTAAATGAATGTGGCAGAAGCTATGTCTGTGTCAGCAAGTAATTCAGTACGATAGGAGTGAATCCACAGAATCAAACTTGATGCTCCACCTCTATACCAACAGTACATACAGTCTGGAAAGCTGAAGGCCAGGTTTACTCTGATGCTCCAGACATCCTCGACCCATCGGTGGTTTCAAGCTGCCTGAAGGAAACCACTGCTACGGGCTCACGTCACCATTAGGAGCCAGAGGGCATGTGGTGCATACCCAGAGCGCAGTTCCCAGTTCAGATTTCTCCCAACGAGAGGAAGTAGCAAGTGGGGATGAGAGAGGGATTTACTCCCAAACTGTCCCTAGAGACAACACATCTATTAGGATGTTCAGTCTCATACAACACTTTTAACCCTGGGCTGAATGACCATTTCCTCATGAACTGCGTTGCAGTGTTCCCAACTGACCCAGCCGGTACGACGGCTTTCAGCGTGTAGAGCGTAAGCAGCAGTAGTGATATAACCGAAATTACAATGATTTCAAAGTTTCATTCTACCTGCAGTATGAATTAAGACAGACATACAAGAAGAGGGGCTGCCCAGGAGAACCTGAAAGCAGAACTATCACTCCTGTTGCAGATGTTCAGAAAGAGCAATTGCTTACTTGCATAAGTCAAAAATTCCTTCCTATAAAGGGGCACTAAGATGCATAAAATGTAATACACTTCATAAACGCAAGCATTGTACAAGTCCATATTACAAGCCACAATGTTTAGTACATCAACATTCCACAATACAAAGCTTGTCTTTATATTTAAAAATAGAATAGAAACAAATAGTTATACACATTAAGACAATTGCCACAGCAAAAGTTCTCAGAGAAAGTGCTCTACCTACACAAAATACCCTAAAGCCCGCCAAGCAAACTCTAAAGTTCTCTGATTTAAAAGGGGTAGAAAGAAAAAAAGGGCAAGTGACATCCAAAATTTTGAGAGAAACCACAGACTCCAGATATGCCACGTGCCTCAGCTGGTATCAGGTCAGCTTCATCTGGGAAGTCATTACCCCTAAGTATGATACAGCATACCATTTCGAAAAAGTAACAGGATAGTTGATTTACTTATAAATTGCTTTATTGAAGCTATAACTTAATAAATTTGATGTTCAAGGTGTAAAATTACCTCACAGACTAAAAATTAACACAACAGGATAAAAGTAAGTAATACATATCTACTTATGTCACCCAACTGGTAGAACTGAACCTGTAGGATGCTAATCTTTGAAGATAAAGAATTAAGACTATCACAGGACTGAATAAACAGAGAGGGAAACACAGTAATAGAGTACTTCACAGTAAAATACCTCTTTATTAGGAATATATTTAAAATGAGCTTTTTATTTCAGGTAAGAAAAATAGCATTCTGACTTTCAGCCAGTGCCGATTCCAGTCATACGCAATATTCTAACAGCTAGAAAAGTTATTTGCACAACTGTTGCCCATTAACAGTTCTCCTAACTGTCCGTTCACTGTCTTTTTATTTTTAGCTTGTTCTTGCATACGTTGAAGAAATTCTTCGAACAAGGTTTGTATTTAGGTCTCAGTTAAGGCTGACAGACTGACCTGACAGTGACTCAGCATGTTATTAGCTCACATACAGCTTTTAAGCCTTCTTTTAAAGAACAACATGGTTCAATAGCTGATCTATGATGACAATTAAGAGGGCAACTCTCCAGGAAGACTGTGGTAGAAGAAATCCCACTCTTCTACTATACAGTTTAGTACTGTAAAGTAGCAGCAGTTTCAAGAACTTCAGTTAATTCTATATCCCTTTGTAAGAGAGCACTGAAGAACAGAACATAGGGGCATTGCTACTACAATTCAAACAGTAAGCTACTTTGTGTGTACATTTTTAACACCCGGTACAAGTTTTGGACTCTTTCTCTTGCTATTCTGTAACTTAACAGTTTAAGGTAATTAATTGGATCATGTTGTAAACAAAGATATAAAACTTTTGTGTAAGCTTTACTGGTTTAGGAGTGTGCATAAATACCTGCCTTCTAAAAAAAAAAAAAAAAAGCTGTTTAGTTTTCCATCATGAGCATATAATTAGGTAGCAGATTTTAAAATGGGTTTTCACCCAATTAAAAATGAAATCTATGTATTTCACAGAAGTGCAACAATACAGCATTTGTAATGAAGCCTGTGTTTTTAGATACTTGATGTCCATTTTCAATATCAGATATATCAGGTATTCACCAGACAAATGTGTTATTTTTGGTCTTCTAACTTCTTTAATCCTCTGTAGCCAATACGAAGCTAAGAGATACCTGTTTTAAGCAGACTTCCATGTGTAGATGTTTCTTAAATGCAGGTGGAAACAATGGATGATGATATTACAACAATCTCCAAATACACTGACAACAGCCAACAGACCACAAGTTTGTGGCCATTTCAAGCAGTATTTTAAAAATATATATAAACACCAAAAATAGGCTATATCAGGAAGCAATCTGATACTCAAATAAATAGAAAATTTGCATTTTAATGTCACATTGAATTTTAGTACATTTCAATCCAAGAAAAAAATAAACTGACAGACATAGTAATGAGTACAGGATTATATATATTACAATATGCCTTGTTATAATACATTTGTGGCTTTATGATAAAAAAACCTCAAGGGCAGATGGAGTTTGAGTTCATTTAAGTAAGTGTCAGGAACAAAGCATTAAATGCATTTCTGAAATAAGTAATTTTATTTAATTTCAAAATCTTAAAACAGCATTAGACCTTGGCCTCTTTTAAAAAAAATCAGTTACCACGGAGTTAGCTAAATAAGTATTCTGAAAGGTTTAAACAATATGGAAAATGCTTTTCCCAATTTTACATACAAGGAAGGGATAGATGATTTCAAAACCAGGGCTAACTCCATGTTGACCTTGACCTAGAAATGCATATTACTGATCTTGACAAGGAATTCAGCAAATTTTGGAAGTTGTCTATTTCAGGTGAAAGCAAGAGAAAGGGTTATCATATGCAAAAATATTTTCAACCTGTTCTTAACATGTAACTGAAAACTAAAGGCATGGTCTCTTCATTATAAAAAAATAAAGGTACAACAGAAACTCTAAAGGAAGATATTCAGCTATACTGAAGTTGCAACCCTCTGAAAAGAAAGAAAAAGGAAAAAAGTCAATCAGCTAAGCTTTGTGCTCTAACCAAACTACTTACAGTGATTTTCAATGGCAAAAGCCCATGCTCACTGGATGATTTGACAGTTCCAAATACTTTTTGTAATAATTTTTATTTGTGTATACAAGGACACTAAAATGATCCAGTCATGCAACGTTCACTTTAAGCATTCTGCATCTCTTTTCCAATCTTATAGCTAAGGATCTTGTTCCAGTCAATCTTGGTGCGGGTAACTGGCAATTGTCGACGTAAGGCCTTGAAAGTAGTGTCCGACATAGTCTGATAATTCTCACTGATAGCAGTCTGTTAAACACAAGGTCATAAAAAACAAAGAGACATGAAGAACAGAATAAGGTTGTTATAAAAAAAGTTAAATGATTGAGTAGTCTGTTACCTCTTGAGCAGGCTTAATATAAATTTTCTAACTTAAAATAAAATTTTATGAAGGAAAGCTGTTAGATCTAGATTGAAACCATGTGAAGATAATTAGACAGAGAGATGCAATAAACCTGATTACAGCCTAGGTGTTTCAGCAAACCAGTGTGGTTAATCAGCAGCATGAATGAAGTGCTGATCAGAGTAAACTCACACATCACTAATTTCAGACACCAAAGCCTTCCACTGTTTTTCCTGTGGGGATGGTAGAGTCAGTCCACAATATTGTATGAACTTGAATATAGTGCATATGATACATACTAAAGATCTTTTATTAAAGAGCATGTTTTTAAAACCAACAGAACATGGTGTCCAAAATTTACCTTGTGTTCAAGACCTGAATGAACATGAATCCACTTCTACAGAGAATGTTCAGAACAGTTACACTTTTCTAACTTTAAAATAACTAACTGAAATGGATAATGCTTATAGTCATATTTAGCAAAGCTGTCTAACAGAGTAGCCTCGGAACAGAATCTCTACAAAAATTCCACTTAAGGAAGGTACTAATACTGAAAGAGATCAGACTTGCTGATATTTGATCACATCAGGGACTTTTCTGCTCTCAAAAAAAGTGACTTCTAATGTAACGTTAAGTAGATGAATGCAATCACCAGAAGGTATGGAAAGGGAGGATACAGTTAATAGCAGCATGCAATCTATTTATATTTGTATGGAACTGCACTATTTTAATATCAAAAGCTTGCTAATTATAGAATACTAGCTTTGGTTAAGAATGTGGTAATGTTAAACATTATATCCTTACTCACATGTATGTTTCCAACATACCTGATACTCATTTTCTGCAGCCTCTACAATTTTTATAAATTCCTTTGCTGTCTGGGCTTCATTCTAGAAACAGAGCATTTGAATTAGGCCTGATGCACAGCATGATTATAAGACCAGTTGGATTATGGGTTTTTTCCTACATTTCTGAGATATGTCAGGTAGGCTCCATGAGAACACGACCACTTAGTTGCTAAACCAAAACTGAACAAAACATCCAAAAGGCATATGCCACATTACATTTCTATTATTATTATATTTAAAAGATAAAAACAGTGCAACTGCAACAAGCATAAAGATTAACATGGAGCTCATTAAAATATTTTGATTTAAAATTCTATAGTATGATAAAAGACATATGGAACAGAACAACACTTGGAAATATGACAATGCACACACACAAGTCTCCGAAAACATGCAAAGTATGGATATTAACATTATCAACTCCAGTACAAATTCAGGAAAACTTAAAGAACATCAGATAACCCAGAAGTATGCAGAATACAACCAAAAAACCAAAACAAATTTGTTCACCTCTAAACGTTCTGAATCTGGAGACTAAGCTGAGGCAAACACTAGACTTTATATACCCAATCTTCTAAAAACATCCCCAAGTACATCTCGTAAAAATGAGGGTGCAACACACTACAATGTCCAAATTACATCGTGACTGATAAACCGTTTCTTGGATTTGGGCCTCATCGTTAAGTATGCAAGTGTGTACTTGTTTAAAAAAGTGACTTGTCAGTCAATAAGGAGACAAATTAGCTGAAGTGCTTGAAAGAAGTCTCAAGAAGGAAGCGAGGGTTCATGAATTAATTCCGAAACTTCCAACTTGGTGTTGGAGACATTCCTAAGGGTGCTTCTGCAGAAGCTGTTGAAAGACAGGAGTGTTCTTGCCCCGCATGATCCCTCGATCCTACAAAGGCGGAGACTGGGAGAAAGCTATGGCAACTTCAACTACAACTGGTTCAAAGTTTCAGTGAAACTGCACCTAGCAGCTGTGAAAACACTCCTGGACACCGCAGAAAGATGAAGGAGGAGGCAGAGACCAAGTACAACAAATGAAAGAGTTCTGACTTTTCAGTGAAATGAGACAATGATTTCAAAGGCTTTGCTAATGCAAGGAAGAATTCAGGGGTATGAGGTCTTATTTGGCTCAAAGAGAAATAAGGGGTAAGAATGTAACCTTCAGCAAAATTATTGATAGTTCTAGCAACGAGAGAACTCTTCAGTCATTTATTTCAGTTGTGCCCATTGATGGTACAAAACAAAAAAGATGAGCTGTTGGGGCTCCTTTTAATCTACCTACCATTCCTTCTGTGTGAAATGAGAACCCATACAGCCTCTGCCCTCTATGAAGCTCAAATCCAAGGCTAAAAACTGGTACCAGCAACATACTTGCTTTTGTCCTAGCAGGAGGTAGGAAAGTTATGTAAAAGATGTTTTTCTGCTCATCCATCTTTTGCTGCTTTACTAAATTGTGGAACAAGTTTCATCCCAATAGAAAGTGAAGCAAAAGCTATTGCTATTTATTGTTTATTGCTTCTTTATAAGCTATAAACTTCTTCCACATAATCCTCCCTGAAGCAACTCTTAGTTTAATGAAAAAACAAACATCCCTTTGTTAAGGGAGTCAAAAGTAATTTTATATCTACAGCTTCAGAAGCGTTATCAATTGGCACCACACTCCCCCATTCTTTATGGTGGTATTGCAACTGAAAAGCCAACAAGCCTTGCTTTTTATTAACAAACAATGTTCATAATTGATGAACTGAGCTTCTGAGCCAAATTTGTCACTACTAGTCATTATCATTAAAATATTTCTACTGTTCACTTTTACAATCTCTCTTTGCCAGTTTAACCGCACTGGCTTAAGTTTTATTAAAGAACACTCCAAAAGAAAACCTTAACTGTTTATAAACACAATCTCCAGTAGGCAAGAGCAGCATTATTTCAAAAATAGTAGTTGTTCATGTTGCAATGTTACCAACTCTTAAAGGATACATCTAGTACTATTTCCAAACAATTTTTATTTCTACCATCTGCTATTCATTACTATAATGATCCATTTGGAAAGAAGCTGAATAAAATTACGCTTTAAATATAAAGTCTGTTATGTTTCTCAAGCCGAAGCATCTCTGAAAGGGCTTTTTGTCCAGAAAAGCAAGAGGCTGACGGCACCAGTTAGAGACAGGGAGGAAACAAAGGGTGAATATCTACTACTGCTTCTCAACTGGTAGTACTTGTTTACTATCTTTAGCATACTGGTCTTCTCCCAGTGAGCAAAGGGGCAATCTCCTAGAGACTGTACCACTTGAGTGGGTTATCATAGCTCAAACCTCCTCCGTATTAAAAAATTAATTCTATAGGTCACTCTGCAGACTAAAGTTTAAATACAACAGAAGTGCAGAAAGACTGACAGCAAGCTAATTAAAGATTTACAATCAGAGTTAATTTAGCCTATGTAAGCGATATGCAAGCATACATTAATTTTTTTTTTTTAAAAACAGTAACTACATATTAGGTAAAAGTAGTAAATATTACCTACAAAATATTTAAATATTAGAACATTACTTCCCATTCATGCAAAAGAGAAAACTAGCTTCCAAACTTCTGCAGTTTTTAAGCTTGCTTCTTTTCTTAATTTAAAAAGTCATTTCAGTATACATACTAAGGTCTTTGAAGTTCACTTACAGACACTGTTAGAGAATCTTGTATGTCTTTATGGCTCACCAGCTGAACATTACCATCTTCATAATAATGAACCTACAGAAAATTAAACAAAGAACCTCATATTAAATGTTACAGACCAACATCATAAAGGAAAATCAAAGTATTTAATACTTATCACAATAAGAAACCTATATGAATCAAACAAAAACACACACAAAATGCTACAGAGTAACAAAACCAAATAGGAAAACCAAAATGTTGTAGAATTTAAATATTCTTGAGGGGGAATAATAAAGAAGCTACTCAGGAAGCATTTTTGTGTTCATGTGCCTTAAGCAGTATTTCATGCAAATAAGTTTAGAATCACAGAAATATTCCGTCTGGAAAAGACCTTTGAGTCCAACCGTACCGAATACTGCCAAATCCACCACTAAACCAAGGCTTTGATTACCATCATGAAGACAGCGACATACTATTTATGTGACCCTACTAAAAACTCTTGAAATGGTGAAGATACATTTAAAATGATAATAGTTTTGGCAAGGCTTCAGGATACTGTGAAGTTGTTTTTTGCTTCACTCAAACTGTTTTCTAGGGACAGTGCAACATTAAGCTTCCCTTTCTAGATCTACCTGGTTTTGATGTTTTCCCCTATTAGATATGGCTCACAACAAAAGCTGGTATTTATCTAGACAAAGGAGCTCTTTGGGACAAAGTTTGCCAAAGTTAGATGGCAAAGCAGAATGAAATCTATTTACTCTTGAAATGCTATGTCTACAGAACAGCTTCCTTGATTATTTTGCAGGAGACGACCAGTAAAACTCTACCCAAGCTAACTTCAGTACTTTTAAATTCAGTTGGGAAGAATCTGAAAACATTCAGTTTCTAATGCAACTGTTGTAAAACTTAAAAAATAGGAAGCATATATAAAGTTACATATAATCATTCACAATAACTGATACAGAAGAGTTATGCAGCTCATTGGCATTTAAACACATATCTTTATCAAAACTGTAAAAATATCATTAAAGTCAACGTAGGTGATGTTATGAGGAATTGAAGAATTTGTGTCACATCCTATTAGGGAAAATAAGATTTTAATTTTCAGATTAATGCACAATACTAGAATTTCACATACATTATGATCATGATGTGTGCAAGAGACCCTCAGTTTTATAAGCAATAGAGAAAACATGACACAGAGTAAGACAGGTATAATACCTAAGCAAAATAAAGGCTTCCTATACGAGAAAAACATTATTTCCTATGATTCTGTTTATTGTCAAATATTTAAGACAACTAATGTGTTTTTCAACAAAAGGTATCACCTAACCATAAAATAAGCTTATTGTCAAAACAAACATTCCTGTGTGAAACTTCTGCCAACCTTTTTCAACCCAGTTCCTAAAGGATGAGAAATGCTTATGCAGTGCAAAATTCTGAGACCTCCCAATGAAACAGCAGAACCCAGACACATAAATCTCCCCCCTTCTCCATCACAGTCCACTGCAGAGGGCCCAAACCTCCCCTGTGCTCTGAGGCTAACATCAGCACGAACATCTTATCTGTCTCACTGAGTCACATTCTTGGCAAACGCTCAGGACTAAAATCTTCACAGGGATGAAGAGTCAAATGTAATTCTGGGATGTGTTGTATCTTACACAAAATAGGAGAAGTAACTGTTCTGTACTATACCTCACTGCTGACATCCTTCTAGAATGCTAGGTCTGGGTTCAGAAGACTACAAGAAGGATGATGTTTATGAACAGAACCTCTTGGAAAGGTTAACTAAGGAGGGATGAGAATAACAAATTATCTAAGAGGTAAAATTAGTAACCAGTACACTTATCAGTTGCTTTTCATGCACAGTTGGAGCGTGTCAAGCACCACAAGGACCTAGTTTTAGTAAAAGACTCTGCTGTTCAGTTTTCCCCTTACACATAATTAAAAGAAAATTAAACAATGGAAGAGATTAAGACAGTTGAGAATCTCTCATATTAGAATTTATTAACAGAACTTAAAAAAAAAGAAGAAATTGTGCAAGTGACCTTAAAAAATACTGAACACACCTGAAGACAGCAGGTGATGCTGGAATTTCCCCTAAGACATTCATAAAAGGTCTTATCAGAAACAGGGCAATGGTTGTATTGCTGTCAAAGATTCTGCAAATAACACTGAAATCTCAGTACTCTGAAATTTCACTAATGTTGTAGTGAATTCATATTCTAAAAGATTATCTTGCTCCTTAAAAAAAATAAAGCACTTTTTGTTTGTTTGGGGAAGAGAAGGGGAAGCACTCTCACATACACTGGAGAAATTGTACACCATTTCTAAAAATTTGAAACAGAGTTCAAAATTCCTTGGTAAAACAAGTAGTTCCTATACAAGCAAAAGTAATACAACTTTTAATCACTCCCCAAAACACAGACTTTAATGAATGTAGACAATGTCTTGATTAATTATGTGAAACAGTAATAAAAGAAAATCAGCTGGTGCCCAAATTGAGATGCAAATTAAAACCTTACTAAATTCCCTATTCAGGCTATTTTCTAGGCTACTGGGCTAACCTTCCCTGGAATTAGGTAGACACCTGATTGCTTGTTCATGAAAATATCTTAAGACACTTAACCAAAAGTGCACGCTGTGGAAGAAATGCCTGTTTTGCTGCAAGCTGGATTTAAGTTGACCGTTTACTTAGATTCTCCCAACGTCTTGAGAAGCCTAGAAGTTACTTAGGGTGCTTACCATGACCATCTTGATCTGACAATGTAGTAATGGCTGTCATATTTTGACTATCATTCAAGTTGTCATAGAATTTGCCCCAGAATAGGAAATCGGATTCAGGCCCCCTGCTTGGGTGGCCCTGAACACAGCTATCACATCCTAAAATAACATCCTAGCCTCAGGCTATGGCTAGAAAAACATTCCATTGCATCTTCCTTCTGAAGTCATGTCACTGAGCATTAAGGAAGTGCAAAACTCACGGCGGCACAAAAAGAGCAGGAAAAGGGAACCTGACTCTACGTCTTGTAAAAAAATGACAGTGTCTTACGCTGAAAGCCAGAATGCACTAAGATGCTAGTCCTTGATCCCAGAATTCTTTTAATAAACTCCTGCAAATTACGCGTACACATTCCAGGGAACCAATCCAGGAAGTCAAGTCCCCCTGCCTACCACATGACAGTCAGACTTCCTTTGGTCTCAAGATCTCTGCATTC